ATCAAAATTATTAAGTTATACATAGTTTAAACTATGTAATGAATTTGTTAAAATATACAAATATTACAAAATTAAATTTATTAACTATTGATTTGTTTTGCACAATCATAAATATACAAAGAGGAAAATGATAATTTGGAAATATTATATAACCATGACTAAGGGTGTAGCCTAATATGAAAATTATTTTTGTGGTTATTAGAGTAACTCATTTTAAAATAAAGAAATTGATAAATATTGAAGGTTTTTTACCCACTAGAATTATTCTTTAGCAATATAAGAGTTTTTTTTTATAAATGTTAAATAAATAATCTACATTTCTTTTAAGGACAATAAATGCTCAAAAGATAACTAATTGAAAAAACCCTGGCTTTGGATTTTTTTAAATATATAACGCTCTTTTAAATAATTAGTTTTTATAATAAGTCAAAAAATCAATAGAAAGAGATAAAGGGTATCTCCAACCCAAATCATATACAAAGAAATCCAACAACAAACAAAACTAACATATCCTCAAATAAAAGGAGAAACAACAATTAATTAAAAAAATCTAAAGGAAATTTGTACCAATCATAGAGTCCAAAACATATGACGGTTTCTTTCTAAAGCCAACCAATTCCACAAAGGAATTACTATACAATGAAAAATAGTATCGATATCTCCCATCTCATCTTTGAACATAATTCTAATTCTAGCCATCGAAATATTCCAGCAAGTAACAAAAACCAAATCGAATTTCTAAATTGAATTTTACATCTCCCATTAAGCCTCAAAAGCCAGACTATATTCAATATTCACCCAATCAAAAACCTTTTTCCACACTAAGACAATTTTAGGACAATTGAAAAAGAGATGAGAATTATTCTCCAATTCATAAAAGCATAATGCACAAACTGTGTCATGAATATTATTAATTACTCATCTCTTCAAAAGATTTGAACAAGTTAACAACCGGTTAAGGATCATACACCACACGAAGACGTTAATTTTAATAGGAATTGAGGTTTTTCAAACAAAATCCAAAGCAACTAAAACATATTCGTCCAGGCCAATATCAACATTAACATATACAATATATTTGTAATAAGATTTAATAGTAAATCCATAACAATGATCAAGTTTCCAACTCCAAATATCCTCAACTTCACGATGCAACTCATCCTGATCTAGAGTATTTTCCAGAATAATCAAATCAGTCTCCAATCCTAATAGTCCAGGTCCAGTGGTCCTCAATCCAAACTCCCATGTCAAAACAGTAGCCTTTTTGCACAAAGAAGCTTGATACAAAATAGGGAAACTATTGTTGAGAATTGAATCTCCCAACCAAAGCATAGACCAAAATCTAATTGTCTTCCCTTGACCCAAGGAACAAGAAACCAGTTTAGAAAAACTAACCCCAGGTTCTGGATTTCTAGGCAGCAACAAGTCACGCATCCACAACGAATCCTTGCCCGATCTTACGGCAATAGAGTGATCCAAGAGTTTCAATGCCATATTACCATACCTACTCAACACAATAGGCCTCCAAATTTCCTTCCCCTCACTACGCCAGAACTGACTTTTAGCAGCGCATATAAAGACAGTGCTTTTTAAAAAAGTGCTGCTAAAGAGTCATAAAAAAAAAAAACGAAAAAAAATTTCCTACCAAAGACAACGCTTTTTGATAAGCGCTGCTACAATGTAATAAAAAAAAAGAAAAAAAATAGCATACCTACGACAGCGCTTTTAGAAAAAGCGCTGCTAAAGGGTTGCTAAAGGCATGGGCTAAGACAGCGCTTTCCTAAAGCGGAGCTGTAGGGTGTGCTAAAGAAAGCGCTTTTCTAAAGCTATGTTGTAGGTGTGTGCCAAAGAAAGCGCTTTCCATGTAAAGCGCTGCTATATCCATGGGCTAAGACAGCGCTTTTGAAGCGCTGCTGTAGGTATTAAAAAGCACTGCCATAGGTGTTATTATTATTAAAATAAAATATTACAAAATTTTAAAGAAAGCGCTTTCCTTGTAAAGCGCTGCTAAATGGTATTGTAAAGAAAGCGCTTTGAGAAGCGCTGCTGTAGGTAATAAAAAGCGCTGCCATAGGTGTTATTATAATTAAATTAAAATATCACATAATTTTTTAAAGAAACATAACACATTGCTAGCTCAAACGCGTTCTTCATTCTTTCTTTCTCTTTTCTGCGAACAAGAACCCTATTCACCACGACCGGCCGTCGCCCTCCTCCGTCTAACTGTCGTTCCTCCGTCGCTCACCTCCGTTCAGCCTGTGTTGCATATCTCCTTCATTTGATCGTCCGTTTTTGACAGAGTCTGTAGCGCATTTCCGCCATTGTTACGGTATTTGAAGTTTTTCATTTTTCATTTTTCTGAATTATTGTCTTAGTATTTCATTTTTCTGGATTATATGATGTTAGTGTTACTTTTCTGAGTTATTGACTTGTTTTTGTTGATACCGTTGATGAGAACTACTCTTTTGATATTGGTTTGAGTTTTGTATACAAGGTGTTTGTTGAAATGCCACAATGAATTTACTTATGTTAACTTTCATTATATCTAGTCGTATACAAGGCGTTTGTTGAAATGCCACACCTTATATGAGTTCTTTTTACTAATAGTTTTTATTAATGTTGCCTACAAATCTTATTTGAAATTGGCATTCTGATAAATTAGATATATGTATGTAAATCTTTCTGTGATGATGATGATGATGAAAAACAGCTAGGATTGTATTTATGATTATAAAGAATGTGTTTACAAAGTACAACATTTTTTTTCTTCCAAAACATGAAGAAAATTGTGAAAGTAAATTACATATTAGTATTAAGAATTATTTATATCTATTTATTTGATCAATTGTGTTGAATTTTAGATTTATAATATGAATTATAAACATATAGCCTTATAAGTTGATATTGACACCATTATATTCTCTTCTCATCTCTCCTTTTATTCTATATGTCAAATAAAAAACACAATTCATCTCCAAAACATAATTAAATTACCACACAAATAGATAGTTACAATAGCAAATAGCAAATCAAAAGTAAGATAGAAATAAAAATCTAACACGAAAGAACTAACACCATTAAAAACCACGTCATTTCAAAAAATAATGTTGATGAAATAATTGTTTATATTATAAATATCAAGATTACATACTTACATATTTTATGATGTGTTTATACTCACAAAATACAAATAAGTATCATTAAGAAATAAAACATAATAACAACAAAAGTAAAAAGTTAAAACTATAGTATTAATGAATAATGTTTTGCAACAAAAGCAAGATATGATTTCGGTAAGAAAAAGAATAGTGCAATAGAAAACCACTCTTACGCATAGTGGTTGCATTAAATACTTGAATTTTACTGTATTTTAGAGTTTAAAATTTCTTCAAGTATCACGTGATATTTTTTTACTCCATAGTTAATAACTCTGCTTTGAAAAAAAAAGAAAATTTCATAAATGGTAAAATTCTAAAATAGACTCAATTACAAAAGTCATACAAAAACAATTACTACAAAAGCAATTACAAAAAAATCTACATAGAACAATCAATTTTCAGCCATAATGAGAACGATTTCTTCTACCGGGGTGATGGTGCGATCTTGATAGGAAATAAATTTCATCTTTTTTTAAAAAATTGAAAGATCACTAATTAAAATTGAATAAATGAAAATATTATAGAATGGGAAAAGTAAAAAAAAGAAAAAATATGATTTTCATTGATAAAGAGATGAAATTTACATAAAGAAATAGAAGAGAATTTTTAATTTCTGTCACCACTTAGTAGTTAATGGAAGTTATAGGCGTGAGATTTTTTTGTGAGAGATGAAGTTACTTTTTCAATTGGTAACCAAAAAATTTATTAACCACTCAAGATTTTAAATTAAACTATTTTCTTTCTTGTTGATAAAAAAGATAAAGGGTAATTTTAGAACAAAAATAAATCACTCTAAAAACTTGTATACTCTTTATATATAGTTATAGATGACACTTATAGAATATTGCCTTATTGCCTTAGAAGCATCATAAAATGATTCATATTCCCTAAATTTAGGCGACCCTTGATAATAGTGTGCCCAAAAAAAGAAAAAAAGATCGTTTATCTATAGGTAACACTTGCTATTAGGAAGATCCTAAAGTTCCACATTGGTAGTAGATAGAGCATTGAAATAAATTATATAGAGTGACACCCCTCATCTTACCAACCGGTTTTGTAGGATAGTGTAGGTCAAACTCTAATATATTATCAGAGTCTATTGATCGGACCTTTGGCAGCCCACCATTTAAATATGGGCGTGAGAGGGTGTATTAGGAAGATCCTAAAGTCCCACATTGATTGGAGATAGAGCATTGAAATAGTTTATATAGAGTGACACTCCTCACCTTATCAACCGATTTTGTAGGGTAGTGTTATGCCAAACTATAATTCTTGCATTAAAGATACATGAAAATCATTCTATATTTTTTTAGATAACTATTTTTTATTTTAATTTCTAGCAACAATTTGTAGTGTTACAAGTGACAATTAATGTTGTAGTAATTTTAATATAAGAAGTAAATTAACAAATGAAAATATATCTGAGAGATAAAATGACTAATACGTTGAATTTAAGGGTATACAATCACTAATAACGTTGACATTTGAGGATATAAAGACCTAAATAAATAGACATTTGAGATAGCTCCGTGAAATTACTATGGTTGACTATATCTAAATTATCAATTTCATAAAGTAGACTTAGCATACATAATAGCTGCATTGCTTCATTTCATAGCCTCCAATGTTCACTTCTCAAAATCAATCAAGATCAAAAAACAATTATTTCACATTTTAAAGATAAGATTGAATTAATATATGTTAACTCCTTCTCAACTACCAAGTAATGATTCCGTAATGATTCATCCTTCCTTCCATTATATATAGAGATAACTTTCTTACCATTTTGCTCATCCTTCACTACCAAAATATCACATTTCACTTGACTTTCTGTTGAGTACCATGGATTCCAAAAAAGCATTCATCATCCTTGGCCTTTTGGCCATGGTTCTTCTTATTTCATCTGAGGTGTCAGCTAGGGACTTAACTGAGACTTCCACTAATACCAAAGAGAGTAAGTTAGCTATACTTTTTTTTAAAATCAGTCTCTAAAATATAAGAACATATTTATTTTATTAAAATTTATTAAAACTAGTAAGGGATATTTTTGCGAGCAGTTTAAAAATATAATGTTGGGGATTTCTTTCTTAGTTATAAAATTTGTTTAAGAATAAAATTGATATAATAATGTATTTGCAGAGGCTGTTGAAAAGTCAAATGAAGTAAACGATGCTAAATATTATGGTGGAGGTTATGGTGGTTATGGAGGTTATGGTGGAGGCTATGGTGGCTACCGTGGAGGCTATGGTGGTTACAATGGTGGTTATGGTGGTTACCGAGGAGGCTATGGTGGTTACAATGGTGGCTACGGTGGTTACCGTGGAGGCTATGGTGGTTACAATGGTGGCTACGGTGGTTACCGTGGTGGATATGGTGGTGGAGGAGGTTACGGTTATGGCGGTGGAGGTGGATATAACAGTGATGTTTCCGACAACGGTAACTGATTATATCACCATGCATGGACGTTTGAAGTTTAATAAATTTGATGAATAAAAAATGTTGAACCAAAGAGGTACATAGGTATCCTGTGTGGTTATGTAATATTTATATGTAAAATAAATTATCACTATTTATATATTATAAAGTGGTGAATGTATTATCGTGTGTAATATATAAAATATCATCTTGTTTAAATATATTTACCTATTAAAGAAATATTTGCATAAAATTATTTAAATAAATATTATTCCTTATATTTATTAGAGTAAGAATTGTAATTAATATTCAAACATTTAAAACACTCTCAATTTTAAGCAAAAACGGTTAAGAATAAGTGAGAGTTTACCTGAGAAATTAGAATTTTTTTTCTGTTATAAAGTATAAGTCCTTTTTACTTTTTAAAAAAAAATAGGTTAAAGGATGTAGTTAAGTGAAAATATTTACGAAAATAATCAAAATTTTCAATTTTAATATTAAATTATCTAACATTTTCATATAATTTTTAATATAATCATATGTAAAAAATGGATTAAAGAGAAGGCTCAAATAAATTGGCGTCATTTTTGTACCAACTACTTGTTGACTTATCTGTACATTCGATGATACCTGCAGATTTACATGCGGATTTATCTGTGAATTCTTTATCTACGTTTAAATCCGTAAGAAAACTTGCAAGTAGCATAAAATCTCAGAAAAATTACTGTAGCAAAAAAATTTTAAAAAATATACAAGACGCCAGTCCTTATTAATCCATTTTTTTTAAACATGGTTATATTTAAAATTATGTAGAATGTTGGTTAGTTTTGCATTAAAATTGAAACACTTAGTTATTTACGTAAAATTTTCTAGTTAAGTTTATATAAATAAATAAAGTAAGAATGAATATATAAAATTATTTTTTATTTACAATATAGAAAATTGTTTTTATTATTGAATTAAGAGAAATTAATAAATAAAAATAGATAATTTTTTATACAGTTTTTTATCCATTACTTTATATAGGTTTTTATCTTCTATCTTTTTCTCTCACATGTTTTGGCTGCCTTAAATAAATAACATTTCTTCGTTTGTTATATAATTTGTTTATTTTCAACATCATTAAAACATGAAAATTTTAATATTTTAGAAAATGCCCCTACTTTAATGCATTATATATATATATATATATATATATATATATATATATATATATATATATATATATATATATATATATATATATATATATATATATATATATATATATATATATATATATATATATATATATATATATATATATATATATATATATATATATATATATATATATATATATATATATATATATATATATATATATATATATATATATATATATATAATTATTTTATTTAATAGGCAACACAAAATAGATTATAGTATTTAGGTGAAAATGGTAAGTGAATTTTTTAACTTAACTAGAAATAATAGGTTGGAACTCAATTCTGTATATTTGGTTTCTACTAAAAAAATTTCACAAAAAAGACCTTGTACTGATAGGAAATAACAAAATAATTTATAATCATATTAATGATCCTTTAATCTTAATACTAAATAAATTATGGTATTCAATAGACCAAAATAACATTTTCTTTTACTTGAGCTTTTATTTGTACCACTAAGAAGTGATACATTCAAATGATACACATAAACTGAAAAGTTATTAAATATGATGTAACTCCAAAAGCGTTGTTAAATATGATGTAACTCCATTCAATTATAGAGAAATGGAAAACTTTAACACCATAGAAAGAACTCCTCTCTTTTTTTACTAGATTCGACCTTGCCATAAAAATAACACTACTACAAATTATAATCAAATTACTAGTATGTTCACTAATTGCATAAAAAAAATACGAATGAGCTAAATTGGAGATCAAATTAAAAAAAACTTTTAGAACAAATTAAAATCAAATTAACATGTTCTCTGTTGGACGACAAAAGTATATTTTATAATTATTATATTCACAATAATGGATGGTAACCATTTAATTATTTTTAAGATTTTAAGTAGAGATAAGTTGTATATTTGATGTGATTTGTGAAAGTAAATAATATAAAATAAATGATAATAAGTAAACGGGAGATTTCGTTGTTAACAGTAAAAAAAAAACTTGTTATAAATAGATTTTGTTATTATATATTTACCATGCACATTTATAGGTCAATAATATGCTCATCTACGTACTCAATTATTAATATTATCACTTGTTAATCTCTTTGTATATTCGTTTGATATTAATGTTGTGATATCAGTTCATTATCCAATAGCCAATATATCGGTCTATTAACCAACACAGAGCATTAAATTCCAACATTTATAAAACAATTAGACTCCACGCCGATCCATACTACAATACGTATGGATATTGAAGCTAACTCTTTATCTCAGCATTAGTATTCAATAGATGATCACCTTGAATCTAGTAATGAAAAGTACATTACGATGTCAGGTCACACGATAAAAAAAAAGTTTTAGATAGTAAAGATAAAACAAGCATTAAGATTAAAGAGTCTTCAATATTAAAGCATGCAAAAAATTACATAGAATGATAGGACATATTTATTACATTAATATAATGACTATATTTTACCCCCAACAAATAGATTATAGCTACGCTTATACATCCTAACTGTTGGTAATTCCGTAAAGCTAATCTTGTAAGTTTATTTGCACTTATTTGCCTTGTCACTTAAGCAGCACTTCCGTCTCCAGGTTCCCTTTCTTATTCTCTTGTTGTAGATTAAAGTGAACCTACTTCAATTCTGTACTATTTCACTCCACCTAAAAACCTTTTTGCAAATAACTGAAAACTTCAATTTATAGACAAAATTCTAAAGCCCTTGCGAGGTGCACCCCCTTGCGTCCTACAAGTCTGTTGTCCTTCGCTTTAAGGAATGCTAGTTATCTAATTGTTGGTCTTAGCCACCTTGACTCACTAAATGCACCGTTCATGCGCTTAGGGTGCAAATCCATGTTTCACCAAGAAATATTTAAATCCTGCAGACATGCAGCCTATCAACTTCTCAAAACACACACCAGGCAGTGAAGTCATGAACATGTCGATAAACTCTCTTTCCACCATAGGAGGTTGCACCCTCGAAGCTAAATCTCGCCATCTCTAGGCGTGTTCTTTGAAGCTCTCAGTATTCTTCTGCGACAAACTCTGCAATTGTACATTGTTCGGTGCTAGATCATTATTATACTGATAGTGAGAAATAAAGGCCTCGACCAATTCTTTCCAGCAGCGGATATGAGTTCTCTCAAACCCCATATACCATTCCAAAGACGCTCCTGCCTAACTGTCATGGAAAAATGCATTAACAGCTTTTCATCATCAGAGTATGCAGACATTTTTCTGAAATATGCTCGGATGTGTACTCTAGGAGAGATCGTCCCTTTGTACTTGTCGAAATCTGATACCTTAAACTTGGAGGGAATCCTGATCCCGAGCACAAGTCCTAAATCCGACATATCAAGACCCAGAGAGTTCTGATTCTCGAAAGACTTCATCTTCTCCTCGATCAATTTAAACCTTTTGTCAGCTTCAATTGGCAAACCACCCTCCATATCTTTCATGGAAAAGACGTCATCCTAGTGATCTTCCAATGAGGGCCAGCAGCCCCGTGCACAACACACACACTCCCACCAGTAACATTACCATTTTCATTCACAGCACCTCCGTTCGGAGGTATGACGACAATAGGAATACCCTGTGGAACAGACCCACCAGCCAGTGGAGGAATAACATCAGATCCTCCATGCAAAAAGTCCTCTTCGTCGACCCGTGGTATCAACGGCTGGACAATAGTTCTCAATTTTTCCTACCCATTAGCAACATTCTGCATCAGCTCTATAAACTAGGCCATGCGAGCTCTAACTTCCTACAATTCAGCTTGAACTTGATCAATTACTTTATGTTGATTCCCTCGAGTTGGATATCTGTGGAAACTAAACTCCTCAACCCTGTTACTGAAGAAAACCAAGCAGAGATAAGAACAAAAGGCCACTGAGAACACCTGCGATGAAAATGAGAATGCAAGATGCAAGATGCAAAATGCAAACATGTCTATGTATTTACAGGGAGAGCTCCCCCTTGATTCTAGTTTCAATAAACAAGAACAGCAGAGATGGACAAGAATACCACCAAAATCTTCTCATATATCAAGTAAAGCTGAGATAATATATAACAAAAAATGAGAAAGATTCGAATACAAAAAGGTATTGATCTCATCCAACAGATCTGGTGATGATCAAGATACAAAAGAAAAGAAACTACTATGACATATCAGATGATAGTCCTCCCCAGCGATCATTCTCTTTGCTCCAGGCCTGAGCCTCCTTAAGCATCACCTTCGTATCTGGATGGTCTGGTCTGACAACTCTTCATTCTTTTTGCACAACTCTTCCTTCTCTTCCAAAAGCTTGTTATATCTCAGGATGTAAATCATTATAGGCTGCTTAACCATCAGGGGATATAATGGTTCTTTAACAGGGAATGGCAATAGTACTCTTTCAACTTTCTTCTGAACCCAATCTAAGTAGGGGTCATAAGCTCGACAATCACCTTTTTCCCAAAGAAAGCTTTCCCTTCTTGTGGACTTTACCCCACACATCAACGAATTTGGCCAGAATACAACGATCAGCTACACCAGTGAAGTACAGAGATTCCTGCACTTCTTCTTCCTTCGGAGGTCACCTCAAGGCATAACCAAATTGTCTGACAGCAAGAGAAGGATTGTAGTTGATACCGCCTTTCCTCCCAATCAAAGGTACATTAGGGAAAATACCACAACTAAAGATGAACTCTCGACCAAGCAGATCATAGTTGAACCAGGCTATCCTTTTCTGTTAAACCCATGAGTCTTTTGGACCATTCAGATGAATTTCTTGAATCCACAAAAGCTCAAGAGCGAGGAAGATGATCAACAAACCACTTGTGAAAAAGTGGCGCACAACAAGAAACAACCTTTCCTCTTATTT